AGGGACAAGCGGTGAAGATGCTGCCGCAGCCGCAGCGGGCGAGCCAGGACCCGCCATCCCCCGTCCCCGCCCTGCGTGGTGTCGGGCCCGTCCTCCAGCTCTCCGCGCGCCTCCGCGCCCCCGCAGCCCCCTCCTCGAAAGCAGGTTCCCCACACCTCCGCCAGGCCCCGCACACATCGCTCTCCCTGCCCCTCCCGAGGTGGGCTCAGTCTCTCTCCTTCCCACTCCCTTTCCCTCCCTGGTGGGCTCTTCTCTTGTCACACCCTGGAGTCCCGGACAGGGCCTGAGGGCCAGGCAGTGGCGGTAAGGGGGAGGCTGAAGATGGGCGGGGGGCAGTGGGTATGCCCTGGTACCAAGCGTCCAGCCAGAGGCATGTGATGGGGGGACATCTGTGGACAGTAATGCTGGCAGCTACAAGGACCTTTGGGTGTGTAGGGAATCAAAGAGGAGGGTATGGGACGTCGGGCCAGCCTATTGATCCCAGCGCTCCTGGTTCTGCCCGCAGTGACCGCAGCTCCCCAGGAGCCCCCTGCTCGGTCTCCCCAGGCGGGCAGTGGAGTTGGCCCAGCCCCTGGGCGCACCATGCGCGGCACCACGCTACTGGCACTGTTGGCGCTGGTCCTGCTCTACTTGGTGTCTGGTGCCCTGGTGTTCCAGGCCCTGGAGCAGCCCCACGAGCAGCAGGCCCAGAGGGAGCTGGGGGAGGTCCGAGAGAAGTTCCTGAGGGCACATCCCTGTGTGAGCGACCAGGAGCTGGGGCTCTTCATCAAGGTGCGTGGGTGAGCCAGAGCCCCTTTCACAGTCACCCATGACCCCCTAGCACTAGCTGCATGGCAGTGGGGCCCTGTGCTGGGTTGCTGCTTCCAGACCGGTATCACTGAGGACAGTTTGCAGTGGCTGGGATCCAGGCCTCTGTGTTTTCAGTATGGCACCGAAGGGATCATTTGTTTTCCTTGCTAATGCCTGGCACAGGACTGTGCTCCTAGAATGTCTCTCTCAGTGTGTGATGGTGGTTGAACGAAGGAAAAATGAATGAATGAATGGCTATTGTACATGTGATGTGTCCTATTTGCACAGGTCTAACTCGCTGGTTTAGGTTACCAGATACAGTCCAGATACGATGAGCAGTTAAATGTGGACTTCAGCTAAACAACGAATGCTTTTTTATATAAGTATATCCTGTGCAATATTTTTATTTGCTAAATGTGGCAACCCTACCTACACTGGTTCTTATACTTTTTTGGAGTCACAGATGCCTTAGAGAAGCCCGAGAATACTGTGGGCACCCCTCCCTCTGGAAATGTGTGCAGATGATTTTGGAGGGTTCCAGGATCCCTTAAAGCCTGTCCATGCCACCATGATGCCACCCCTTCCCCCAGGACACATGTTTCTGGTGTGTGGAGGAAGTGTGGGCTGGTCAGGGATGGGGCCAGAGTCAGGCTTCCCAGAGGCACTTTTGGCCAGCCTCTGTCTAGTGACTATCTAGTGACGGAGCTTGAGACTTCTGGGGTACAGTCAGGCAAGCACCTCTGTCGCTTTCTCTGATATCTGACTCACTGTTATATAAAAAAACAAAGGTTTACCTTTAACAAATTAATGTTGATTACTTTATTGAAGAGTATCTCTTGATCCCTGCCTCTTCTTTGTGGAGGGAGGGGCCATTGGCATGGAGGCCTCCAAGTTCCTGCTGATTCCCAAGGTGTAGTACACAGGGCACAGATGAGGGTGGGATAGGGCCAGAACGCAAGTGATCCAATATTATCTCTAACAGTTCAGAATGCTGGAGGAGGCTCAAAGAAGCCTGGGGGGAGAGTGTGTCTCTCCAGACCACGGGGCAGAGGGAGGGAGGGAATCTGACCTATTTTATCTTCACAATGGAATTGCTTTTTTCCTGGATAAGAAAGAAAAGGAGGAGTAGGACCTAGGAGGGTGGGTGAAAGCTGCTTTATTCTCTTTCACAGTAAGATTTATTTCTTGATTTAATAAATCATGCAGCAATTGTGCACCTACTGTGTGCTAGGGTTGTACTGCTATACACGGGGTGAGTAGTGAAATGGATATTGGGGTGGAGCAGATACAGACTCTGATCTGGAGTATGTTACATCTAGACAAGGGGACAGATCCATGGACAGACATCACTGTAGGATACAGTAGAAAGGGAGTTTTCCTTACTTCCTTCTTTGTTAAGCACCTATTTATTGTGTGCTGGGCCCTGTTCTGGGTGCTGAGGGCCAAGGAGGGAGATGCTAGGGACCTTTGGGAAGAGCTGGTAGTTGAAATGTGCCAGGTGAGAGGGGTAAAGTTTTAGACATTGGGGGCAAGAGACTCCCAGGCAGAGGAACAGCATGGGCAAAGGCGTGGAAGCTGGAAAGCTCTGGAGTGTTTTGCAGAATCTGGAGTGAGCAGATGCACAGTCATTTGAAGCAAAAATTAGAACACACAGGATGACGAAGGATTTTTTTCCCCCTAAGCAGTGAATTTATTGGAAAAGTGTTGCAAAATAAAAATTAAATCACTTTTAATCAGATGTTTCACCTCTTGCTTTTATTAAACAATTATTATTACAGGAAATAGAATCGTCTCAGAAAATCTGGGGGGAAGGTTGCTGTAACTTGGAGTACAAAATGGGAGTCCCAGAAGAAAAGACTGGGTTGGGACCAGTTTGAAAAAGGGCTTGAATGCTGGGCTGGGGGAGTTTAGACTCTATTCTACAGACAGCAGGGAGCCAAGGATTGTAGTCAGGGAGGAAAGAGGTGGTTTATGATCTTCCGCACAGACACTGTCCCTGTGCCTTGGCTCCGTGCTGCTTAGGGAAGTCCTCTGCAAGTCCTCCTCCCTATGCTCTGACCTCGTATTGCCTAGGGCAGGCACTCTCAAAACACAGATCCTGTGCCTGAGGGACCTGCAGGCTGGCAAGAGGGGCAGACACATAGATATTTCACTTATTTAATAATATTTATTGAGCACCTACTATATTGCACAGGGCTTGGACCTGAGCGGGGTGGAGGGTGTGTATGTGTGGTATGTGTGTGTGTGTGTGTGTGTGTGTGTGTGTGTGTGTGTGTGTGTGTGTGTGTGTGTGTATGAACCTCCTAAAGTTCCCTAGAGGGAGAGTGCCTAACTTTCATTAGATTTCCTAAGGAAAGATACCCAAACTAATGTCCATAAGGGCAATGGGAGCGGGGGTCTGTGGAAAGCGAGAAAGCACAGGGCGGTATCACCACGTGGGAACTTATTTGTATACACAGTGCTTACTTTGTTGTAAGTGCTTTAACTCTTCATGACAATCTACGAAATAGGTGCCGGAGCGGGGGTCTGTGGAAAGCGAGAAAGCACAGGGCGGTATCACCACGTGGGAACTTATTTACATACACAGTGCTTACTTTGTTGTAAGTGCTTTAACTCTTCATGACAATCTACGAAATAGGTGCTATTATTACCATCCTCACTTGGTAGATGCTGAAACCAAGGCACAGAGAGTTAACTTGCCCAACATCACAAAGCACCGAGATTTGAACACAGGCAGTCTGGTCCCAGAGTCTGTGCTCCTGACCACTGTAAAACTGGAAATCTGTTGTGCGAAATTAGGGAGTAGATAAATGTTTCTAAAACATTGCAGAGGTCAAACAAACGTGCCTGCAGGTGGATTGGGCCACGCAATTTGGTTGTCTGCTGTAAGGGACTCCCTTCAGGGAGACCAGAAGGAAAGGGAGCGCTGGGAGGGTTAGGGAGGGAATCACCCCAGAGACTGAAGGGGCAGGGAGTTGGTCAGGACAGGAGGGAGGGACTGAGTTTCCTCCTTCTGCGCCTTGTCCTGCAGGAGGTGGCTGATGCCCTGGGAGGGGGTGCAAACCCAGAAACCAACTCGACCAGTAACAACAGCCACTCAGCCTGGGACCTGGGCAGCGCCTTCTTTTTCTCAGGGACCATCATCACCACAATTGGTGGGGGAGGGGATGGGGAATGTGGAGGGGGGCAAGGAGCTTCCTCTTGGGGGAAGGTGCAGGGAGAGGTAGGGGTTGCCCGGTGGCCCCTAGACTTCCTGTACTGCCCCTCTGCCCAGGATACGGCAACGCGGCCCTGCGCACAGATGCTGGGCGCCTCTTCTGCATCTTTTACGCACTAGTGGGAATCCCACTGTTTGGGATCCTGCTGGCAGGGGTCGGGGACCGGCTGGGCTCCTCCTTGCGCCGAGGCATTGGCCACATCGAAGCCATCTTCCTGGTGAGCTGCTCCATGCCCTGTGCTGGGCTTGGATACCCTTCCCTATGACCCAGGCACATGAGCTCGCCCCTGGACTGCATGAGCCTCTCTCGAAAGCTCCCGGGGAGGGGTGGGGGGTGAGGGTGGGGTATGGAGGTTGTTGGTGTCTCCTTGGTCCTGCCTACCGCCCCTGCCCGCAGAAGTGGCATGTGCCACCGGAGCTGGTGCGAGTGCTATCAGCGATGCTCTTCCTGCTGATCGGCTGCCTGCTCTTTGTTCTCACGCCGACGTTCGTGTTCTGCTATATGGAGGACTGGAGCAAGCTGGAGGCCATCTACTTTGTCATAGTGACGCTCACCACTGTGGGCTTTGGCGACTATGTGGCCGGTGAGGCCACTCTTCTTGTGCTGCACTTCTATATCTGCTTTATTGCTGTCCAGGGGATCTGCACTCTCACCTCTTCCTTCACATTCCACGTGGTGTTTGCACACTCACACATGATTTCTTCAACCCCTACATCATCCTGGAATGCATCGTTACATTTTCGCTCGCATGTGACACCTTATGCACTTACATTTTTGCATGCTTGCATTCCATGCATGCTCACGCATATATTAAGCGCACCCCTCACACGTGTCACATTCTTGCTCGTGAACACCCCTTCTTGCATACTCTCATCTTGCACACCTTCAACTCATGCACGCTGGAGTATCCTGGGGAAGTCCTTATCCTGGGGAAGGCGGGTCCTCTCGATTAGCTGGGAAGAGGGGCAGTGGCTCACAGGCTTGCCCCACAGTCAACTTCTTTCCACTTTCCCTGGTGGTATCCCAGGCGCCGACCCCAAGCAGGACTATCCAGCCTACCAGCCGCTCGTGTGGTTCTGGATCCTGCTTGGCCTGGCCTACTTCGCTTCGGTGCTCACCACCATCGGGAACTGGCTGCGAGTAGTGTCCCGCCGCACTCGGGCAGAGGTATGCGCCCCGGGTTGGCGCTGCACCTGCGCTGTGGCGCAAATGCTCTGTACCCTAGCAGCGGGTTGGCCAGTCTACCCGCTACTCCTACCGGAGTGTGCACTCCTCAAGGCAAGAACTGAGTGAGCCCCTCCTTGTGTGTGTCCTGCCAGGGACAGGGGTAAATTCAGGTTTGCGGTGATTCCACCACCTCTGCCCTCATGGATAGGGTTGCCAGATTTAGCAAATAAAAATGCAGACGGGGCCGGCCCGTGGCTGACTTGGGAGAGCGTGGTGCTGACAACACCGAATCAAGGGTTAAGATCCCCTTACCGGTTATCTTTAAACAACAACAACAACAACAACAACAATGCAGACAGGGCTCCCTGAGTAGCTCAGTTGGTTAGAGTGTGGTGCTGATAACGCCAAGGTTCACGGTTGGATCCCCATACCAGCCAGCAGCCCCAACAAAACAAACAAACAAAGCAAAAAACAAAACACAAAACAAAACAAAACAAACCCCCCACAAAAAACAAAGCAGACAGCCCAGTTCAATGTGAATTCCAGATAAAGAACGGATACAATTTTAGTTTGTAAACTGGAGGGAGAGCTGAAATAAAACTGGGGCTTTCTAGGAAGGCTCCTGGAGAAGGGGGCACTTCGGTGCTCATGGAGGAGGGGACAGCTTGCTGAGGCGATGAGGAGCCCATTCGTCCTCCGGCTGGCTGAGGCTGGAGGACCCGGAGGAAAAGAGGGTTGATGCCTGATTGGTGAACGGGCAGGCTCCCGGGGTTGCGGAGGCGGTCGAGGACCCCAGGTCGAGGACTGCTTCTCCTCCCTGCGCAGATGGGCGGCCTCACGGCGCAGGCTGCCAGCTGGACTGGCACAGTGACCGCACGGGTGACCCAGCGAGCCGGGCCCACTGCCCCGCCGCCAGAGAAGGAGAAGCCACTCCTGCCTCCACCGCCCTGTCCAGCGCAGCCGGTCAGCAGGCCGCGGTCCCCTGCACCCCCCGAGAAGGTCGAGCCGCCTTCCCCGCCCACGGCCTCAGCCCTGGATTACCCCAGCGAGAACCTGGCCTTTATCGACGAGTCCTCGGACACGCAGAGCGAGCGCGGCTGTGCGCTGCCTCCCGCGCCGCGGGGTCGCCGCCGCCCCAACCCCTCCAGGAAGCCTGCGCGGCCCCGGGCCCCCGGGCGGCCCCGAGACCAAGGCGCGCCGGTGTAGGGACAGACCCCCGGCCAGGGCCTCTCAGAGGGCTTCGTTCCTGCCCTCTCCCCGGCATGCTCGGCTTGTTTGACCAAAGAGCCCTCTTCCGATGCCACTAAAGCCTGGGTTGGAGGCTACGGGTTACCTACCTACCACCTCCCGCCCCTGGCCCTCTCCTCACTGCCATCCATTTTCAGACCCCCGAGGCTTTCTGTGTCGCTGTCCCACCCAGGGCTGTCCCTCACAACACCTCACGACTGTGCCTCAAAGTCTGCATCAATAAACGAAAAGTCTGCACCGCTGCGGGCGTGCGCGCTCCGGGGACGCGAGCGGGGTGGGAGTGCTGTCCGTGGGCCACCGCAGGGGCACGTCTGGCCTCCTGTGACACCCCCAGGTCGGGGGCCCTTGGGCACCCGTGTCGGTCAAGTAGCGGCCCTCTCGGCTGTGCTCAGGCCCGCGTGTGTGCCTGCAGGCGACCGGGGAGGGTCCGGCGTCCGAATCGGCCAAGATGGGACGTGCGACTCCAGCCCCAGCATAGATATTGCGGGTTGGGGGTGGGGATGAGAGAGCGCGGCCCGGCTCAGGGTCCCCGTCCCCAGCCTGCTCTTCCCTCCCGCCCCAGCTCCCCGCGACCCTTGGTTTGCCTCGTTGTATGTGGCCCACAGGTGTCGCCCGAGTTACCGGACCGCCGTGGCTCAGACAGGGCGAGCCCGCACAGCAACGACATTCGGAACCTGTGGACCACGGTCACGCTGTCGCAGTCACACCTGAACCTGCCGCTGGCCGGCGTCTGCGAGGACTTCGACGGGGAAGGCGGAGTGAGCAAGACTCGCAGGTGGTCCGACCAGAAGGATCTCTGGGAGGACGATGGAGAGGACTTCAACCTCAGTCCAGGGGACCTGGACGAGCGCAACTTTTTGGAGCGGGAACTGCACCGCGGTGGCTCCCTGGAAAACCTCTTAGAGGGGGACGACGATTCCAAGAGCGAGTCTGGTCAGTGTGGCCTCGCCAGGCCGTGGGCGCCCACAGGGCAGGGGGCTGGCTATGGCCTCAATTTCCGATGTTGTTAAACGGGGGGAAGCTGATAGGATCCAAGTTTCTAGGATTCCCTGAGAGGTGCCCGAGCGAAACGTTCACGCTTTAAACCAAGCAGACGTTCCTGGAGCGCCCCCTACCGGCCTCTCTCGGCACCGCGAGCCTGAGACGCGCACGAAACGCGCAGAGGCAGCGCGGTAGCACCTGCGTTCTTCATGGAATCTTAGGGCCAGTTGAGAAAAGGAGGGAGTTAGTTCTGTCTGAGGATTTGCTCTGGTTGAGGAGGTATCTCTTTTACTCAGTCTTTGGCTACTATTTTGGGTTGTTTTTTTTTGGTGGCTGGCCAGTCCGGGGATCCCAACACTTAATCTCGGTGTTACAACAGCAGGCTCTAACAACGCAGCTAACATGCGGGGCATTGTTTAGGACTTGCCTCTCCCTCTTCGCACCCCCCAACCCCTTCATCAGGGAATTGGAACCGCTAACATAACAATTGCCGCATATTGAATGGTTGCTAATGTCCCAGGCACGGGGCTTCCCTTGCATTATCCCCTTTAAACTTCACAGCCTCCACAATGGATGGGCCACTTTTATTAACCCATTTTACAGATGAAGACACACATGTAGATGAGGTTTGCCTCAACTGAGTTACAGATTTCTTAAAGTATTTTACATACAAAGTATTTAATACAACAAAATTAGTAATTGAAGAAAAAATCGAAAATACTACCTCATTTGAAGAATTTTCTTGCAAACTTGACACAGCAATAATTTCATTTGAATTAACATAATTGCTGACATATGGAAATAATTCTTCAAAAGATGCTTTTTGCACTGAGGACAAATCAATCTATAAAGGAATATATTACTCTTGTAGAAGTTAAATGTAAAAACGATTACTTCTAAGAAATTAAAGGAAAGTTGTAAATACTATCTCACTGGAAGCATTTTCTTGTGAACTTGACATATAAACAATTTCATCTGAATAAATATAATTACTGACACGCAAATAATTTTTCAAAAGATGCATGTTTAACTGGGGACACATTAATCTATAAAGAAAGTTGTATACTCTTTTGCTTTTTTTTTTTTAAAAGATGACCGGTAAGGGGATCTTAACCCTTGACTTGGTGTTGTCAGCACCATGCTCACCCAGTGAGCGAACCGGCCATCCCTATGTGGGATCCGAACCCGGGGCCTTGGTGTTATCAGCACCGCACTCTACCGAGTGAGCCACGGGCCGGCCCCAGTGACTGGCTTTAAGTCTCCCACAGTGGGGCAGTCAGAACTGGAATCCAGGTGGGTGGGACTCTAAAGCCCAGAGTTGTAACCAGGGTTCTATACTACCTCCCACTAAGGCAGCACCTGGAGCTGGTCTCTGAACACCATTTCCTCCCATGTGCCTACTCATACATCTCCTCTGCTCCAGAGAAACCCAGAAGTCTGCAGATGACTGACCTCTCTTTTTCCTTCTCCCAGAAAAGTCTTCCTCAATGTCATCGCTCAATATCCCGAAGTACACCCCCCATCGAGCCTACTGGGCAGAACAGCAGAACAGGGTTGGAGGGGCCCAGGGAGACAGGGCTGGGGGTGGAGGGTTAGTAGGGTGGGGGATGGGTAGGTTGGAGTTGTGGGAGTGAGAGGGTGGGGGTCATTTGCAGGGTGGAGGTCCAGCTGGTTGGGGGTCTTGGGGCTGCTGGGAGCAAGGGGGGCATTTCAGCTGCAGGTAGAACTGGGGTCCCCTGGACTGGACGCCTGAGCCTCTTGCAGCTTCTTGCTGCTTCTCCAGCTGCCGCTGCCCCTGATGGAACTCATGGAGAATGAAGCTCTGGAAATCCTCACCAAAGCCCTTCAGAGTGAGCCAACATCCCACCCCACCCCAGCTTCCACAAGAGATCCTGGTGGATTTTGCAGGGCTTGGGCCCGGGAGAGTGGGGCTTCAGGATGTGTATGCCTTGTCGGATCGCCTAAGCACTTACAATTATTCCAAGGGCCCCACAAAAGTTAAAAGTTAAGGGACTGAGCACAGGAAGGCCCAGTGGGGAGAGCATGGGTGGCTGTCAGAAGCCTGGGCTCCAGCTATAGCCCAGCCCCCTCCATCTGATGGAGCTTTTCTGAGCTGTTTCTCCACCTGCCCAATGGGATGACAGCCTTTGTGTAGCCTTGCTCCCTCCCGCGTGGGGGAGCTGTAAGGAGCCCTTTGGCAGTGGATTTTTTGGGTAAACTTCTCCTGCTTATGATATGAACGTCCAGTGGAGAGAAAGGGCCAGCTGATGGCTTAGAGTGTGTGGTCCAGGAGATGGCCGCAAAGCTGCTCGCTACCACCGCCCTAGTTCAGGCCGGCAACATTTTCTCTGGTCTTGTTCTCATCCATCCTCTACCTTAACACTCAGCACCCTGGTGATGCAAAGTTCCCCACGCTGACACAGACCCGAGCGCCCACCTCTGCTGCCACCCCAAATCACCTGCGGTTCCTCGAATCACACATGCAGCGCCCGCTTGTGGGGAGACCTTGCCTCCGCTCAGTGCCCTGAGCTGAGTTCTGCCCTCCTCCTAGGCTACCAGTCGGCGATCGGCGGGGAACACTTCATGACCAAGGAGCTGCAGCGATACATCGAGGCGCTCCGAAGGCGCCGGAACAAGAGGCTGAATGTCAAAGTGCACTAAGAGCACCTCTGTGGGCTCGAGCGGCGGCCCGACCCCAGCCCCAAGCCCTGTCCGGTCCCCAGACCCCAGCCCTACCCCATCCTCGTGCAATCTGAGCCCTAGAGAAATAAAAGAGTCTGAGCAAGGTCCGTGAGTCAGTGCGTGGCTGACCGCGTGAGGCGGACGCACGTGGCCCCGCCCTTTCCCGTGACCTTCATTCGGTCACCGCAGTGACCTTGAGCTTTCTCCGTCCGGGCCGTATCTGCCTCGCCTTCCAGGACTTCTTACATGTTTTAGGTCTGCTTCCCCCACCCCGAGTTCTGCAGCTTTGCAGGAATATTGGGTTTGCAGTTCAAGTGACCCGTTGGCGTTACCTTGGGGGAAGGGGGAGAAGGAAAAGGGGCAGCACCTTCCCCCTGGCGAGGGAGTGATAGGCTCCGCCCCTCAAGCAAATGCAAATACTCCAGCCTTTCCGCTGGTCCCGCCCTTTCATTTTCATATGCATGTGGTCCCCTGCCCCTCTGCTGCGGTCTGTGAGCGACCCCTCCCGCTCCTCTCGCGCACAGCGCGCCCCGCCTCCGTTACGAAAGAGCGCTCCGGCCCCAGCCTCTCCCGCGCTTATTCCAGGCGCCCCCGCCACCGTCTCCCGTCCGCCCCGCCCCCTCGGCGGCCGCGTACACAAGTGCGCCGCGGCGGCAGGGGGCGGGACCTTCGCGAAGGCCCGCCCACTGGCTTTGCCGGCTCCGCCCCGACCTGTTCGGGCACGCAGGCGCCGCCC